GTTAGGAATGTGGAGTGGGAAATCATTTAGCTTTCACTGCTAGGTGTTACTAAATTATAGCGCTAGCTTCGGGTCTCTATCAAAACACCATATATCTAGAGGGTTTTCGCGCAGCGCCATAAATCATGTTTACTGCGTGTATGAGTTGAGCGAGTGCATGAACTTTGCAGTGCAGTCCAGGAAAATATAATGACATGTGTGCGTGGTTTTGACTGTGAGAAATGTGGACAGGAAGCTCCAGCCTGCTCTGCTGCTGTGTCTTAAATACGCTTCCAGAAACTGTTGTCGCGGCTTCCTGGAAATAGCCACTTATTAAAGCAAAGTGGCTTTGTTGGGTTTTGCTGCCATCGCCAAGGAAGGGGCAACCACCAGTGGCCTCCAGGTCCTGGGGAGGGGGGGCAAAGGGAAGGATTATTTGCAAAGCAGCATCAGCAACAGAGCCCCAAGCAGAGCTTTTCCATGGTATAGGGTAGTGGAAAGCAGTATCGCAGGATATAAATTGAAAATTGCCCAGCTGTTCCCTAAGACAGGTGTAGGATCTGTCTTTTATATAATGGAGCAGAATGGACATTCCAGTTGCTTGTCTTCATAAACAAGGCAAATAAATCTGCACACTTGTCTGCATGTAGAGGAGTAGAAATATTTAAAACAAATGAGGTGATCACGGCATTTCCTTGTTAATGTTTGACTGGTCTTAGATGATCTTGAGCAGAAAGCTTGGCCTCTCACCATGTCCGTTGGTTTCTCTCTGTGTGTATTTATATATATTTGACGATGGGGAAACGTCGAGCAGGAAAAAAAAGCCGATGGAAAATGTAGGGTCCGGCTTGTTTAAATTATATTTTAAGCCTGATTGCAGCCGGGCCCTTGGAACTCCAGGCATGATCCCTTCTAGCAACTAAAATGATTTGAATGTTACGGGGCAAAGTTATATTTAGTTTGTATTTGGAGAAAGAATAACAAGCGGGTGTGGGGGGAGGCAGCCGCATTCCCTTCCCTTCTTCCCGAGCCCCGTTAGACACGGCTGTCCCACCCCACCCAGGGCCGGAATATTAAGAAGTGACTTAAATCATTGGGCTGAGGATGAGAGGAGCTGGAGGAGATCACCAGCCCTTGTTGCTTTGGGGAACTGGGGGGGCTTCATTTATCGTGACCATCGTTTGTGGCCTCCAGGCCGGTGAGCCAGCGGCCCTGTGGTCCCAACCCCATGTGGGTTGAAGGGTGTTTCTCACCCCAGATCTGGCGACTGGGATTTGGGAGACTACAGGAATGGGAGCAAAAACCAACAATTTTCTAGCTTCATCTATAAAACTGTGTGAAAATCTGTATTGACAGTTTTGATGGAATATCTCCCTGGATCTCAGCCACTTATCCCACACCCTGATGCTGGCCCTGCAAGGTCACTTGCTGTCCCTGGCACCATCTCTGCTTGCAGGTTCTCCAGGCAAAGAAATGAAGGGGTGTGTGGAAGAGGGATCCCTCCCTAGGGATTTCCACCCTGGTCCCAAAAGCACCACTCTCCTGCTCTTGTTAGAGGACCCGGCCTGCAGCCTTGGACCTCAGGGTAGTTTTTGGGGTCCCTCCAATAGTAACGATAGCAGGATCAAGCCAGGAAGATGGTAGTTATCCGCAGTAAAAACTCTGTGTTGATGAATCTGGGGACAACGAACAGTGGGACGGCAGCAGCACCCAGGGTTCGGCCCATTCGCACCTCGCCCGCAGCTGTAGGTGAAGCAGCAGGTGCTTTCCCTGGACTTTGTCACCCGGAGCAGCTGGAGAAATGGATCCTGCGGCTGAGGCCACGGGCCGAGCGCCGGACTGGGCTCCCGCGCCGGCGTGCGCAGCTGTGCCCCGCGGCCGGAGCCACTGAGGGACCCTCGCCTCGGGAGGAGAGGAAGAGTGTGGAGGAGGGAGGATCTTGTGCCATCCCGCACGGGGCAAAAGGCTAGGCAAGAAAAAGGGGAACGCACCGGAGGGGGGAGGTGTGTGGATGGACGTGTCTAAGAAAGAGGCTTGTGAGTGGCTTTGGTCCCCAAAAATATGGTCAGCACGGAGGAATGAGATGTGCCTGCACACATCTCGACTTGCAAAGTGTTCAGCCATCACTGCTGCCATCCCAAGGCAGGGTTTCAGGCAGTATGCAGTGAAATCAGAACCAGGAGACCCTGCACGTTAGAGAAAGATGCAGAGATCCATGGTGTTATCAGCGTTTGGTTCTGCTATAAGCGCTCTCATCAGGTCCAGTTCTCATCGGCCTGCGAGGGCCTTGGAAGCCCCTGGTGTATGCAGGGGACTGATTCCAGAGAGCAAGGACTGCTTATGCAGGCAGTTATTAATATAAAGGTGATAGGTAGTAAAATGGGAATATTTTGGGAATATTTAGAGCACCCCGTGAAGAGAAGCAAGGCTTAGCTGCTGTGCCCTGCACTGTGCTGAGGGGTACGTGCAGCTCTATCCAACAACATATACAGTAGGAAAAGAAAAGCAGGGGGGAATTTTTTATTCTTCATCCTGACAAAGGTGCTAAAGTCCTCAGAAAAGGACTAGTGCTGGGGCAGGGGCTGCGAAGGGCCCCGCTGGCATTTGTCTTTTCAAGCAGAAAGGCTCGGGGAAACGCTCCCTTTTCTACATGCCAAAAAGGTCTGCGCGTAGATCCTGTGACAGAGAGCGGTCCAACAATTCCTCAGAATGAAAGGTCAATCAAAGGAAAATGGCATTTAGGAGGACCAAGCTGATTGCTGACCCAACCATGTGACACATCCAGAGGCAACTCCAGTGCCATCGGGAGAGCCGCTTGTGCTGCCTGCCCCAGCGAGGCACATGACGTGACTGGGAAACTATCTGACTCCTCCAGGTCTAAAAATTTGTCAGGAGTCAACCTGAATGTCGGAAGGAAAAGGGGTCTGAAGGAGCTGCAGCAGGGTTTCCAGCTCGGGAGGAGGGTGCTCGCTCTCCACTGTGCCTGCTCACCCTGCACCAAGCACTTTTTCCCCGGCACTAATTATAGGTCTGTTTTTGATATCTACGGAGGAGTATCCTGGCTCTCAGATAGATCTCAATGAAACTAATCTCAAAGTTCGGCTTGGTTTGGTAGGGCTGCAAGTCAGAAGGGACCTCTACAAGGGCTGACCTAGCATTTCAGCAAGACTCTGCACTTGTCTGAGTAAGGCTCTGTGCCAAGCAAGTAAAAGTAGCAGAATTTGGGGCTGGATCTTCACTTGGTGTCAAGTGAATTCTGCTTGAAAGCCTACACACACAATCCCTTTGGGCGAGTGCATCTTCTCTTTAAAAAAGTCAAGAATGGGGCTTGCATCAGATCAATGTTCGGAGCATCTTGGGATTATTGGCCAAATATTTCCATGCACAGAGCTGACTGGAGATCTTCCAAGGTGGAGAACATCAGTAGTGTGGACTGTGGGACATAGATAGTGCTGCCTAGGCAGACATTTCTCATGGTGTTTTGCCGGAACAAGGGAAAGCACTGTTGCCTCTGAGACTCCCTCTCCTGACAGTGTCTGCAGAAGATGAGCCAGGATGCCTTATCTTTGTCTAGGACTGACTTTTTCAGAATAAAAAAAACCCCTCCTTTGGGATGTCAGCAGTTTGTCATAGTCTGAGTCAAAGCCAGTCAGTCTGAACTAAACTCATTGGTTTAACCAGGCTCTTGGTTAAAGAAGTTCGTGATTTCCGTGCTAGTTGCTGACTCTTTTCTCAGCATGAGAAACATTTCTGTTCAGCAGCAAATGTGAAACTCATCAATGCTATTTGACATGAGTAATGGAGACAGCAGCGCCGTGGTCATTCATGAGCTGGACTGGACGTACTGTCTGAGTCATATTGGGGAATATTCAGGCAAATATTGAAATAATAGGAATTAGTCATAAGGAAGTGCAAATATGATCTTCATAGCTTATCCCCTGTGGGTCCTATCCTCTATAACACTAGGAACAGAAATATATGAAGAAGCAATTTCAAATCCCACAGACTTCTTGTGGGGTTTGGATGCAACTCAGCAAGTTTGGTCCTTATGCAAGAGTGGGGCACTTAATATCACACCCATTAATAGTGTATTCTGGGAAGAGCATTGCTATTGCAGTTTTGGTGGGGAACTTGTGCAATAGACTGATGAAAAGGCAGAAAATATGCAGGGAAAAAAAGTACACTGTGCTTCAGCACTTTGAAGCTTTGGGAAGAAGCTCCAGGAGGAATTAGCTAAGGCACCGCTCCCACTCTTGCAGTCCTTATTACTTCTTGAGTGTTGGTCTGTCCACATATGTACTGTCACCATCCGGCACACAGTGTGTTCTCTCTGTGGAATTCCAGGGACACTTTGTTTTGCATGAAACCATGACCTTCTACAATGTGCAAATGTTTGTCCATTAGGTTAAACCAGCAGAATTGCCAAGGCAAGGTATAAAAATATCCTCTTCTTCAATGTCTTCGATGTTAACCAATGTCAGACTATGCTGTATCCTTCCCATCTGGTGATTATTAAAGGAATTGCTGTACACATAACATGAAATGATTATATGTTTTTTTCTTTAGGGGATGGAGGGGAAGGGAGTGTTTTGTTTTAAGTACCAGTGCTGCTCTTAATTTTGCCTTCAGAATTGGTGTTAAGTTTAAAACAACCACAGTTGTTTCACCAGCTACAACCCTGCAGTTTGGGTATCGGGTGCTTTAGGAAAATGAGGTATTTTGGAAAAGGAAGACAGAACTGGAGTTGGACTTCCTTACTGGGTTCGAGCTGCTGGTTAGTGTGAGCTGCTAACAACGCCAACCCTGCAGCTTCAGGTCTTGCATGGACTCATACCTCTTTTGATGTATCCCTCTGTAATCACTTCCAGTTTTAGCCTTGCTTGTAAGTGATTTTAGTCCTTTTACGGTATCTCTGTATAACAGTTAATGTAAGATTGGCCTGAATCATAATTGGCCTTTAAATCAGCGCCATCCTACTAAGAAAAGCAATAACAACCCTTCCCTTTCCTGTTCTTTCCTAGGCCCCCCGAGGGTTGCCGATAAAGTGATCCACCGGCAGTCCGTGAGGCTGGGCAGGACCATCAAGCTCCTGTGCCCGGGGGAAGGCGACCCGCCGCCTCTCACCATGTGGATGAAGGACGGCCGGACCATCCACAGCGGCTGGACCCGGTTCCGAATCCTTCAGCAAGGGCTGAAAATCAAGGAGGTGGAAAGCGAAGACGCGGGAACGTACATCTGCAAAGCCACCAACGGCTTCGGCAGCGCCAACGTGAACTACACCCTCATAGTGATTGGTGAGTGCACGCGGGTCCTCGCAGCGCTCGGTGTCCCCGGATCTGCTTTGTTAATCATTCACTGACCTCTCCTCTTAACTGTCCCGTTCCAGTGTTTGAGGGTTGCCAGAGCTGGCCGTGCTGCCGCACATCTTCTGCGTTGCAGCCGGCTGCAGGCAGATAAGATTGCGGAGTGCCAGAGGTCATGAATAAACAGAAATGATGCAACGCTCACCAGGGTACGGATCGCAGCGAATTCCACACAGGAAAGGCTGTGTGATAAGGGGAGGTCACACTGATCTTTATGTTTGCTGTTGGAACCGGAGAGTTCTCAAAACAAATGTTAAGGCATCCATATAAAAATGCACAGCTGGGGGATCCTTGTGCTGAGCTTTTGCAAAGTGTGGTGTCTCCAGGAATAATAATATTTAGGTTGAAACAAGGCTCAGAGCTGGCATATGACCCAGAGATGCTCAGTTTCTTAAAAATCCCCATGGTGGAGGCAGGATTTAAAAAAAAAATCAGATGTCATTGTGAAGAAATGCAGTCTTTGGCTGTGAGTTTGACTGACTTCAAAGGATTTGCTTGGCCTAGAAAGCGTGTTTTGGGGGTCACCTATTGGGGTGAATGATCCTGTCACCCCATCCAGAGACTCTTTTGGGAATTAGCAAGTCTTTCATTATTGCTGCTACAGAAGTGGCTTTATTGCTCCTTAGCTGGAAGGAGATTGGTTAAAATCTGAGTGGTGGAAAACACTGAAGGGGCAAAAGGAAAGGGTACAAGGTGTGATGAAATCATGTACCTAGTTCGCCATATTTCTTAATCAGTTCTCCCAATACTTGGCCAGGAATTGTCTCCAAGCCTATCTATGTCTCTGGCTCTCCCTAAGGAGACAGGATAACAGAGGAGGAACTCACTGCCTGGCATGTCCTTCAAAAATAGGCATTTTCTGGGCTGTCTCTTGCAGAGGTGCTTGCAATCATACAGTGCCTGGGCCCAGCTGCCTACAGTGGAACTGTGGGCAGGGCTGTCAGGATAGATACAGGAATACAGAGGCCAGCACACATGGAGAAGGTTTTATGGACAAATTTGGTCAAAGCTGGGTTTGGTTATAGGGAGACCAGGAATACTGAGGACATCTCGAACTCCACAGCTGAAATAAGTGGGGAAAGGAACATTGAGAATTCTGAAAAATCAGTCCCTGATTTCTTAGGAAAATGGAGTTTCCTATTTGAGGCAAAGCCTGGTGAGGTGTTTTAACCCCATGGAATTTTTCCTCAAACGAAGAGGCTCAGTGCAATATGGGCATTTTTATTTTCCATCACAAGACTGCTACCTCTTGGAAGTAGAGTAATTCCTTAACAGATGTAAAACCCTTGCTGAGGGATGGTGGGGTTGGTAGGGACCTATATAGTTCTCTGAGGAATCAAGTTCTGTTTGGCGTGTGCCTTGTCTTGTGACCACTCTAGTGAACTGTGCGTGCCTGGGAATATCACTGGATGCCTGCTGGCCCTGAACAGCTCACTTTCATGTTAGCAAACTTATTTCACCTCTAGATACAACGTCTGTGAGTAACCTCTGCCTACTCTGAGTGACTCTGGCATCTCCTGACTCCTAAACCATGCTCAGGATGGATTAGGTGCCGATGACCAAAATTATAAAGGAGGACTTATACAAGCTGCCTGATCTGACAGCAGCTTCAGCAAACAGGCTCAGGCAAAGTACCAATGCTGAAAGGCTTGTCAGTGACACGGAGGGGTGCAAGCAGTGGTTTCCCTGTGGGCAGAGCTTCAGGATGAAGCACAGGCCAGTGCTTGGTGTGCGAGTGAGGAGGCAGAGTGACTAGCAGTCACTAGCTCATTGCAGAGAGATGGATTTGCCTCCTTTTGCACAGGGGAAGCAAAGGGACAGGTAAAAGTAATGGCAGATTAGGACCAGTATATGGCTGTCTGCAGCTTAGCACTTGTCTGATTTTTTGCTCTTTCTATTTGCTCCATGGTTGGAGGACTGCTGTAGGTTCAGAGAATATAGCAAGCACTTGGCACTGCTTGATAACAGGGTAATTCTGGGAGAAGGCACTTCTATAATGACTGCACTTTGCTGCAGAGCCATTATAGAAGAGAGACCAGAGCACAAATATCTTATCAGGAAAGAGATGCTTAGGTGAGGGAAATGCTCTGGCTTTAAGACTCGTCTAGCATCAGTAGGATGATGTGTGAAAACTGGCATGCAGCTTACACGGAGTTTGTGCTTTTGGTTTTCCTCATTCATCTTCTTCCTATCCATGTTCCTCCTCTTCTTTACAATTCACTGCAGAAAGGGTAAAGTGGAAATAGTCTATAAAGGTGGATGTAACCCCTTTTGGAGGTGCCTTGGTCCTTCCCTTGCAGAAGGGAATGTTACAGGAACTTGCTTCAGTCCTGCTTCTGCTTCTCCAGTAAGTGGATGTCACCAAAGTCTTTAATCTTCTGTGTCCTCTTCCAGTGCTCTCTGCAAGACTCAGGGCACAAGGGCTCCACATTTCTCCAAGAGGCAGAGATACCTCGGCATCTGGGAGTAACAGGAGGCCCTGACTTTTCTTGATAGCACAGCAAAAATAAACAAGAGAGAAAAGGCAGGGAACAGCAGGTAAAAGCTGGCCTAGCATTCAGGAAGGATTGAAGCAAAAACTCCAATTCAGTTGCTCAGGGAAATTGGATTATCAGGTTAAATTGTGTCAAGAACAATAGCATTCATTATATTTGGCACGGGAAAGCCCTGGGCACAAAGAGTAGGTATTTGGAGCCTCCTCAGGCAGCCGTGGAAGGAAGTGGCAAACTCCCACCAGCCTCTGTGGATGTGAGATTGAGCCCTATGCAAACAAATATCGATTACCTAGTGCCAAGAAAAAGGCAGCTTTACACTACATGTGTGACAGACATATGGGCTGAGCAATCAGTCATCTCCATGCATCCCTATTCCAATGTTAAGTAAATACAGTATTTCTTAGCTTCTGTTCACCTCCCTCCTTTCGCATGCAGAGTGTCCCTATGTGGTGGTGCTGTTCAGCCCATTTTTTATGGATTACCTTATGTACCTCTTCTCCAGAGACACATTTTCCTGTAATATATCAAACCAAATTTCCCCTGAAATCAAATGGTCCCCTCGGGTCTTTCTTGCCAAAATCTGCAAGTAAACAGATGGGTATCACTGACTTACTCTTTCAAAGGATTCAAACCTTTAATGCTTTGACCAGATGCTTGTGTTCATCCTGGTGAAGACACTTTCGGTTGAGAAAGGGCCTTTGTTGGTTTTTGAGAAGGAGGCAGTGTTTCAAAATCAACCGCATGTCCTTTTCAGGGATGAAGATCTAATCAATGGAGCTGTGTGGATTGCGCTCTGGAAAACACAAACTTCATTAGGCAGTTGCCTTTTGAACCATATGGCCTTTTCTCTCTTTGCTGTTCTCCCACTCCTTCAAAGGAGAAAAAGTCCTCTTATTCCAGCTTTATTACTGACACCAAACACACATAAACCATGAGGGTCAGACACGAGCAAGGTGGTTAAGATATTAAATCTAGACTAGGACAGAAGACACATTTAAAATGATGCTGTCAAATGATTCATTAATTGACAGGGCTTAAGAAAATAAAATCTGTATGGCATGAAAAGGTTCTGGGAGTTGGAGAAGTAGTTTCTGGAATACATTCAGTAGTGTTTGCTGAAAGATTTTGGAGTTTTGCTTATTAATCTCAACTCTTATTAATTAGTCTACATTCCATTAGAGCATAGAGAAGCAACAAAAGTCTGTGCCATTGCCCAAGTGTGTCAGGAGAGCAAAGGGACACATCCACATCAGTGAGTGCTGGCAGAGGAGGCAGGTGTGTGGCCACCTTGCAGGTTGGTCTTGGGGGGTTTTGTGCCTTGGGTCGGACCTTGTTCTCATGTCACTTTGGGACTGTTGTAGCAGATCTTGCTAGCAAATGGCCAGTCCAGTGCAGAGCCAACTTGGACCTGCCTATTCCTACATGCTGCTGGAAGAGTCTCCAGTCTGCATGCACACATGAGATGGACAGCTGTGGTTTTACAGATGGTAACTAAGGCAAAGAGAAATCAGGTCATTGATCCAAAACCACTGAGGTGTGGAAGGTAAGGTGAGCCTAAACCTCTTAAATCTCCTCCTGAAAGGCTATTTCTCCTTCACAGTGCTTGGGAAAGTCTTTTCTTCCTAGTTGCATCCTCTTGCCACTGTGTTGGAAGGGAACCTTCTCCTCTTATTCTGAGGTTTTGATCTCCTTCCTCGGACAAAGGTTCTGCTAAACCAGATGGTAGCAATTGGTTTCTGCCCTGCTTATTTCCCCATCCTCTCCCGACTGCAGACCCCAGATCCCAGAGATCCAAGGAATCCTGCTCTAATACATCCCTGTATGAAACGTAAGCCAGTAAAAGCAGATAACCAATATAAATCAAAACTACAATTTCCTCTCCTAGCCAGCCGTAATAGTTTTTGTGGCTTACCACAAGATTTGGGATGCCAATTACACTGCAGACAGATTTAAAAATGCTGGAAGAGGAACTCCTCTTTAATCAGTATTAAATCAGCATTGCAGTTATTAAGTACAATGGTTCCTTATTGTGGAGAATTATCTGTAACCCATCAAAATGAATGTGCTGTACCTCTGTTGCAAGTTATTTGTATAATGATGCCCATGAAAGTCTTATCTTTGATTGTCCACCGAAGGTTTTTTCAAGCTGAATCAATTCAGGGGAGTTGGTTTACAGTCTACAGGTATGAATAGCAACTTTGTTTTAGTTTTAAATGCTTGGTTGAAACCTGCGGTTTCTTTACTGCAGAATAAAACTTCTTTGCCAGGGTGCCATAAAAGGAGGCCTAAGGCCAAAGAGGAAGAAACAAAATATTGAATAGCTGTTCATTATATGAAGGCTGTCTACCTCATGTGTTGAGTGAGGTGGGTGCTATGGAAAAAAAATAATGACTGTGTAATTAAAGACTGTACCAGAGTGCATGTGGACGGCTCGGA